GGGAGCAATTAAATTACACGCGCTCCTTCTTTGCCGAGGGCAATTATTATAATTACCAGAAAGTGCAATCAAAAATACAAACGCAAACAAAAATATAACGTAGAAATAGGCAGAAAACGAAATATTCCTTCCTAGCAGCAAGTAATAATTCCAACAGCAGATCTATAAACAAGTATTACGCAGGACACTCACGTGCAGCCGTCTGTCTCTTCTGTTGACTAATCGCTTGATCAAATCAAATACATGTAAATCAACTAAATTTATTGTCACATCAAAAGAGATGAAAAACCTTCCAGGTTCCTGCATTCTCCTGTATGAAAATGGATCTGAGGCAGCCACTTGTTTCATACCTCCATTAAAACCATCTTGCCCAGTCATTGAACAGATCACAAATGACAGAGTGGTTGTTAAAGTGTCTCCATCATGTCCTGCAACAGAAGAGCTCAAGTTACAGTATAAAATGAAGGAGAAGAAGGACTGGAAATATCAATCTGTGCTACAGGGACAAAGCACAGCTACTCTGACAGATCTCAGACCAGACACTGAGTATGAGATCAAATGTGCAGCCGTGGGGAAACTGAACTACTCCGTAGACAGTGATGTCATCAAAGTTACTACACACCAGCGGTGTAGTCAGGGGCGATACTAGGATTTTTTCAACTGGGGGGCACAAGAGGGGCCACAACTAATACAGAGGGGCCAATCTTATATTGTGTATTTATATGTAGAACTGTAGATATCTGAATCATTTAAAGTTCAGTAAGCTTTAAAATCAGCAATAAACAGAGATACCTTATCAATTAATAGCATTTATTCACTGCTGTAAATCAGAACAGTCAAATACAATTTGTATGAACTTTTCATGTTTAAGAAGTGGAAAAACTGTGATAAAAGAATCCAATCTATGAATAGAGTGCAACTCACAAAAACAATAAAACTCAACATTAAGTTATATAAACTTTACACAAATCCTCACAACAAGGGCAAAACAAAAAGTCCAGGTTTCAGAAAATAATAGAACAGCTTTATTTATACAAATGCAGAGTTCTATTAATCATTCATATAACAAATACACAATTAAGGAATTAATAACTTTATAAATTAAATAGAATAATAAAAAAAGTTTATTTATAGTTTTATCCACATCCTATTCAATTTGCATACCAGCAGTTGCAGTAAATTTGCATTGAAGAATTGACAAAATCTAAATGGCTAACTAAGCTTTGAACATAAATTCTTGAAAGAGTGGTATAAGAGGATGTGGTGCTGGTCCTTCACAAGTCACTCTCAACTTATCTGTCCATAAAGCCTATTAAAAAATAAATTAAAAAAATTCAGTCTTCATGTATTTCACAACACTTCATGTTATTCTTATTTAGTTGACTTAATTTGTTAGGGTTTTTTACCCAAGCAAAGTCTCTGAGAATCTGAAACAGTGCACTTCTGGAGAATCTGTGTGACTTTCTTTTTTCCATGTTACAAAAGAAATTGTCAAGTCAAGTCACCTTTATTTATATAGCGCTTTTAACAATACAGATTGTGTCAAAGCACTGTACAGTATCAAATAGGAAAATAGTGTGTCAATTATGTAAAATGACAAGATTAAACACTCAATTTTCAGTTCAGGCATTTCATTATTGAATTTAGTGATGTCAAGGTCCAGCTCGGTTCAGTTTAAATAGTGTCTGTGCAGTCAAGTCGACGATATCTCTGGAAATTAAGTGTCCTCGAATTGTGAAGAATGTTTGTCCATACTGTATATAATAAAAGTCAATGGTGATCAAAATAGTTTTGTTTTCCACTGCCTTTCATTACAGTGGACAAAAGCATTTTATTTACTTATTTTTTTTTTTTTGTTTCATGGAAGAAAGGAAATCATGAAGGTTAGGAATAACATGAGGAAGAGTAAATGATGACAGAAACTAAATATGTGTGAAAGGTTTAAAGCAGGTTAAGTTTCTAAACGAAACGTTCAATTTGACATTGGTCACATTATTTAAAAACAAAAAAAGTGCTATTAATGATTATTAACAAGGTTTATAAAACAAGCTACACATACAAAATATCTTAATAATCTCTAGATATTAGTCAAATAATCCATAAGAAACAGGTGCATACCCATACATGTGGTGAACGAAGTTCGAGGTCATGCTCGGGTTGCAAATTGTGCATACCCCAAATTTGTTCGTAGATTCTCTCTACCCCTATATTGTTCTGTGTTTGCACAGCGTCATGCAGCCGTACAGGTCTGACCAGAGGCATCTGTGGCTTGCATTTTGTATAGGCTATTGTCGCAAAGATTTTTAATTTTTTTGTTTTGTTTTGTTTAATTATAATTCTTATAAAGTCATATCGAGTCAAGCGATATTTAATTTAGATTTAATTTATTGTTCTCAAATCAAAGTCAAGTTATTAGAAATCTTTAAATTCGCAAGTGCAGTCACGTAACGTTAACTCAAGACCACTTCAGTATCGACCGAAAAAAATAAATCTCAAAGCAGGAAAACCTTAATTGTGTTAATTATTTATTATGTATTACATTCAGCCACGGAGCATTCTGATTATTATCTTGGTCTAGGAACTAACATCAAACCTGGTCTGTCCTAACACTGAAAGACGGTACCAAAATCTAGCGCTGCAACAACTCGCTAATTGAAAAATAATAAGGAATATAAAATAGATCAACTTACCATGTGCTTTTTTCATTGGAAAACAGCAGCTCCAGTTGTTCAGATCATCGCGGAATTCAAATGCTAGCCAAAAGATATGATTTGAATTTTTGACTGACAGACACGTTGAAGGGTGGGGGCACACTGGGGGGCCAATCAGTTTTCAGGGGGGGCAAGTGCCCCCATGGCCCCTCCCCTGTCTACGCCACTGGGTGTAGTCTATAATGTAATATGCAGGTATACGCCGTATACCCACTAAGAAAGGTCAAGGACTTCCATATATCCAATTAAAAAAGCGCGACGATACGTAACAACATAATTGTGACAGAACTTTCACACGTTCATTCATAAATTAACCCCGTCTGTGTTGCGATCGAAGCACTAACTTTTTGAAAATCAAGCTGTGGTTCTGTTGATGATCAGTGCTATTGCGCAACTCTTTCAATTTCAACAGGACTGGCCGAGGCCATCCTAAAAATGCGCCACTGCTGCGCGTCGCCACGAAAGCTTATCATTTGCACGTGTTTTTATGCCCATTTAAACATTCAAAAGAGTTTAAAGCATTCAAACACAGGACGCGGAAAAACTCAAATGAGGAAAAACTCAAATGAGTACTGGTTCGCCGTGTTCGGTGCGCACACAGAGAGTCGTAAACGTAAACTTAAGTGAATGTAAACAGTTGAAAGAGAAATCGGATGTGTTGTCTCTTAAAGTGATAGTGCCTAATTTACTAGCTGCTGTTGGTGTCCTTAATGTTAATCCAAGAAATTAAATCCGAGAAAATCACTCACAGCTCTTTACTGAATTACTTTGTAGTTTAACAAGAATTAATCTATATTTAATTTATACAGTAAAGACTACTCAATGCTATTTTACATTAGATTATTCGGTTTCTGTACCTGGACACCTACAAACTTGAAAAAACTTAAACATTGTGTAAACAACACAAATAAATATATAGAACAAACATATAAATTAAACCATTTCAAACAGGGCCCACGGGTACAACCTGCACCGGGGCCCCGCAAACCCCAGCTATGGCCCTGGGAGCAGTGACAGATCAGTCAACTGTCCAAAGCGTCTTTCACACAGTCATTACCTGACCTGGTCACAATCAAATATGTTAGCTTTACTTGGCAGCATAAAGGAAAAGTATGCATTTATTGGTAAATGTATCTTTTTGAAAATGAAAGTAAATGAGGGGAGTTGAAAGATTTCTTATCCTGTGGCTCCCTCTAGTGGACTGAAATTTTTCTCTAGAGAGGGCATTTTCACTCAGCCAATGCAAGCCTATGTGAAATCTTTGATTTTTGATAATTATATATACGAAAACTGTAAGTCTCATCAGTAGGGCTGCACGATAAATCGCATGCGATATTTAATGCGCATCTTGTCAGAAAGCCGGTTCTGTAATCAGCGGTAAATCTCCATCACCTGCGGGCTTTCACATTGAGCAGCATTAACTACACAGAGCCGTTGTTCACTGACGAGTTGCGCAAAACCACGTTCATATTCGCGCGATTTTTTGTGCAGCTCGTCAGTGAACAACGGCTCTGTGTAGTTAATGCTGCTCAATGTGAAAGCCCGCAGGTGATGGAGATTTACCGCTGATTACAGAACCGGCTTTACTGATGAGATGCGCGTTAAATATCGCATGCGATTTATCGTGCAGCCCTACTCATCAGTTAAAAAAAGATATAGCAACAAACTACAGATCAGGTCCAATGTCTCTGCCAAATTTGGTGCTTGTAGCATTAAAGCCCTAGGAGGAGATACAGTACAGTTGAAAATTCTTGGTCTCAGAAGAATAATAAGAAGTTGTAATAGTATAACAGTATGTTGACTTTCTCAGGCCAACATAACTAGCTAATAACTTCAGTAACGTTAGTGTGGTGGATCAATGAATGCGGGAGAAGGGGAGAGATAACAGATACTGTGTATGTGTGTGTCTGTGTACAGCAGTTAAACTGAATAATTTAATTCATTACATTTATATAGCGCTTTTCTAGGCACTCAAAGCGCTTTACATTGTCAGGGGGTATCTCCTCATCCACCACCAGTGTGCAGCATCCACCTGGATGATGCGACGGCAGCCATAGTGCGCCAGAACGCCCACCACACACTAGCTTATTGGTGGAGAGGAGACAGAGTGATGAAGCCAATCAGTAGATATGGGGATTGTTAGGATACAATGTTTATATCTCCTTGTTTCAGCCAGAGCATCTGAGAGTGAGGAGAACTATGTCAACCTTGTGGACTGAAGGTAAGGCTAGGGAATTTAAAAACATTCACTCTTAAATGTGCATTAAAAATTGCAAGCTGATAAAACCTGTGCTCCAGGGACCATATTCAGGATAAATGTAGCTCTTAACTGGCTGAGTTAGATGATTAACACTAAACAGTAGAAAATCAGTCCAGTCACCCCAGCTGTAAATGTCATTGGCTGTTAAAGTCTTGTGTTGCATATAATAAATTCACATGTTGATATCACATAAGCAGTCTTTCAGAATGCTGCCAGTTACATGTAGATGCATACTGTACACATTAGTGAGTGTGATGGTGCTTATGGGGTGTTGCTCTGGGACGGGTGAGGGAGGGAAAAATCACAGTATGCTCACTACAAAAAACTAGACTACACCACTGCTACACACCATAACAACGAAAGAAAGGTATAATGATTATTCATGAAAAACCAGCTAATACCACTTTCCCATGCAGAAATCATACCGAATTATTGCAATATTTGCAAAAGGAAAGTTTGGAAATCTAAAACTGATATTTCCTACTGGCACACTAAAACAATCTTAAGGCAACAACAAACTGACAGGCAAAAACAACTTAGGTTAAACCTAAGTTAAAGCTAAGTTAAACCAGTCACAAATTGCGAATAAATTAATTAAAGGGGTCATATGATGCTATTTTTAAAGATCATTATTTTGTGTATTTGGTGTAACAGAATATGTTGACTTGCTTTACAGTT